GTCAACTTAGAGGCTATTTGAGAAGTTACTTTTTAATTATTTTTTGTCTTATTGGCGAAAATATGAGTTGAGAATACTTTTTTATTTTTTACGAAAAAATATGAGAAAAGTAGAGTGAATGAGAAAAGATTTTTGAATTTTTTGTATGAGTTAATTTTATTTTATTTTTTTTGACTTTTGACTTTTTTATATTTAATAACTAAAATATGAGATTACCAAATGACTCCTCAATTATGTATTACAGTAAAAGTCAATATGTTTTTTTCAAATCTTGAAGGGAGAATTACTTAAAAGTGGGACACAAAAAAAAAATTACAAAAACATTGGAAGTGCACATAATTATATGATGGGATACAAGTGAAAAATTATAGGGGTTTGCACCTCTCCATGTTTAGGTTTTTTTTGTTTGTTTGTCCAATTGGAAAGTAATTCCGCCAATCTTAAAGGTGTTCAAGAAATTTCAGGTGAATCTCATTAATATTGAATCATTGTGAGTATTTCACATTGTATATTAAAAAAAGGAATAAGAAGAAGAAAGAAAAAATTATTAGAGATCTATTTTTTTTTTTGTTGTCCCAATACTTTTGTACATTTATGATATGTTAATCTACAATTTCTATATTTGTGATTAAAATTTAGCTTGTGTATAGTTTACTTATAAAAAGAAATTAAGCCACACATTTGTAATTTTGAAAAAAATTATGAGTTTATAACATTACTGATATTGATGATATATATATATGTAGATTTAACAATGTCAAAAGATAAAACAAAAATCATATCGTCAGCACTAGAATCAGTAAAGGGATGTCCAAGAGAAATGTTAGAGATGATACAGAACTGTGACGTAGATTCACTAACTTTTAATGGTACTCGATATCGAGCCCCATGGGAATTACTAAACGCGAGGTTTAGAAAAGGAACAGTGACGGTTGCTGGAGATGCCATGCACGTAATGGGCCCATTTCTCGGACAAGGAGGCTCAATTGCATTGGAAGATGCTATTGTTTTGGCTAGATGCTTAGCAACACAGAGGAGAGCAGAAGTGGCACTTGATCAGTACATTGGGGAGCGAAGGATGAGATTGGTGCAAATTTCTACGAAAACATATGCCGTTGGGACGCTTCTAGAAACTTCGTCTGTGGTTGTGAAACTTCTATGCATCGTCTTGATGGTCATCTTCTTTCGTGAGAGACTCAGTCATACCCGTTATGATTGTGGCCACCTATAATTAAGTAGAAATTATTTAGGATTCATTTGGGAAGAACTTTTTTAACCTAGCTTTTTGACTTTTTGGCTAATTAGCCTAACTAAATTAAATTAGCTATGTTTGAGAAGAAATTTTTGGCTTTTTTTTTTTCACAGAAGAATTGTAATAATTATGGTTTGGATGTAACATTTTATTTTATTAATTTTGTGGAGGGGGTGTTTTGGAAATACTCTTTTGATCCACTGGGGCACTCGAGTTCCTTTGCTGACAACCTGAAAATGAATAAATACTCCGGTCGGGAGTGCCAGAATTAGCACTCTAACAGACAAGTCAGTCTCTACTCTTTGGATTACTTGTATTTTAAGTCAAGCATAATGATTCTCACATACCTCTTTCTGGCTGATATTTTTCTATTTATATCTTTTCTTTCTTGGGCCTTGGGATTGGGCCCACTTTCAATTCGCCATTCGGCTTCTTTTGTAGCAAACCACTTTTCACTCGGCCCCTTGCTCAACCAGCTGTTTGGACGAATAGGGTAGGATTTGAATGTGCGAGACGGGAGTGAGTGCTATATATATTTCGACTCTCCAGGTCCAACTATTCGGCCTCTTTCTAACTCCCAATATTCGGCTCCCATAATTGCCCCCCAAGCACTCCACTAATGACAGTTGGCTGGAGTGTTTGGTTTCGAACTCGAAAAGTCAGAAAGGTGAAATATGAATAAAATATATTTACATTTCACATAGTTTCAACACCTTTTCACTTTCGATTTTCAAATTTCTTCCTAAATCCTTTAGCCAAACACAACATTAAGCGGGGAAATATAAATTGTGTAAGCAAATGTTTAAATCACTTAACCCCAAGGGGTTTGGCTAAGTGGATGAAGAAAGCAACGAAAGGGCTTACTACCCAAGATGTCACAAGTTCAAAACCCACGAAGGCCAAACATCCAAACGTTGAGGCCCTTGAAGGTTTGCCTGGTTGTTAACTTCAAGGCCCCGGGATTTAGTCGAGGTATGTATAAACTGGCCTGGACACCTGGTTATCAAAAAAAAAAAAAAAATGTTTAAATCACTTTATTTCTCATGCACACTCTTTGCTTTTATAGATAAATTGCCTAGTCCATTAATTCATCAGGTGCACCTAACAAATCAACATGTGAATTTGACTTATCAGCTAATTTTAGTTTTAAGAAGATGAAACACTAATATTGACAGTAGTGAACTAAAAACAATTTGAGAGGAAAGTACTAATCTTGCAGGTTTTGATTGGATGTAATGGAGCAAATTCGGTGGTAGCTGACTTCCTCGAGTTAAAACCCCCAAAAGCATTTCCCCTGTCTGCTGTGAGAGGTTTGACGAAGTATCCAAGTGGTCATGCATTTGCCCATGAATTTGTCCGAATGAGGAGGAACAACATTATGGTAGAAAGAGTTCCAATTGATGATAAGTCAGTCAACTGGATGGTGGGTCAACAATCCACTCCTAAAGGTAATAGTATTTTCTAATACATTTGATTTAATCTGCTTGTTGCTTTCTCTGTGTGCTTATAAATAGCATAGGATATGCACATGTGCACAAGTCAGTCTACGGGCGGTATGCTCTTTCTTTTTTTGTTTTTGTTTTTATGTTGTTTACCTGCACATGAACAGATGCCAGGGCTTTACAAAATCCAGACCTTATTAGACAGTCAACCCTACCTTAATCGATGGTTTCCCACCTAAAATTCAACAAATGATCGAAGACAGTGACGTAGAATCATTGTCTCTCACGCATGTGAGATATCGTGCTCCATGGGACTTACTATTGAGAAAATTTCGAAAAGGAACTGTAATAGTAGCCGGGGATGCAATGCATGTTATGGGTCTATTCCTTGGACAAGGTGGTTCGGCAGGTTTGGAAGATGCTATTGTTCTTGCTAGATGTTTGTATCAGAAACTTAGTGAAGTCCATCAAATCCAAAGTCGAAGTCAGATGATGATGCATAAAGTTGGAGAAGCAATGGATCAGTATGTGAAAGAGCGGAGGATGAGGGTGGCGCGATTGTCGATGCAAACTTATCTCACTGGTTTGCTAGTGGGACCTTCATCAATGTTGGTGAAATTGGTTAGTATTGTTTTGATGGTTATTTTCTTTCGTAACCAAAATGATCATACTAGATATGATTATGGTCTCTTGTGATGTAGAAACTTTGCTATATAAATTGTTTTGTTTGTATTGCTGTTACTCTACTACAGTCCTTATTTATGTATGTATTGTGAAATCATTGTTCTACATTTAATTAAGTATTTCTGCAATTGTTTTGCTATATTTAGATGTTTTCTTGAAATGAGTTGAGACCTAAATTTCTCGAGCCTTTTGTATGGTTAAAGTCATGTTCCCCAAAATGTGTCGTATTCTAATTTTTAAATTGTTTGATTCAATTGGTTTTTCATTGTTTTTATGGGATTTTTATTTTTTGTGTACTAATTTTTCTAATTGTATTATTAAGTTTTTTTTAATGTTCATTTAGTGTGTTTTTGTATTTTTTTTTAGTGTGTTCATTCAGTTGGTTTTATTATTTTTTATTTTTTTGTATTCTAATTTTTAAATTATTTAATTTATCTGGTAATTTGTTGTTTTATGGGTTTTTTTTTGTCCGTCCATTTTTAAGTTATTTTATGGTTTTTTATTCTAATTTATAATTATTTAATTCAGTTATTTTTATAAAAATTTTAGGCTCTTTAGTCGAAACAAATTAGTATAGTAAAAATATTTGACAAAATTTTGAATTTTTTCTAATTAAAGAAAAAAATAAATAGAACTAACCAAACTATGGGGGAAAAAAAAAAACTCTTCAAAGTAATCTTTAGCTTCCAATTGTGCAAATTCACTTTTAGCGGCGTTTTTTAAACGCCGCTAAAAGTACTAAAAATGTCGCTAATTCTTTTTGTGACGTTTAGTATCAAACGCCGATGACGCGGCCGTTGCTATAACTTTATGGCGTTTAAAAAACGTTGTTATATTAGTATAGACGGCGTTTTTAAAAATGCCGCCAAATGTCCGACCTAAGTGTACTGTGACGTCACTCTGACATTTAGCGACGTTTTTGAAAACGCCGTCATAGACATTTATACATTTTAAAAATCTTACCGTTGGGATGGGATATAGTGACGTTTTTTAAACGCCGCCATAGCCTTTTTTTTTAATTTTTAAATTTTGTTAATTAAAAAAAATACTTGTCAAACAATTATTAAGAACTAATAATTAATGTTTATTAAAATAATAAATAAACTAAGCTTGAAAACAAAATTAAAAATAAAAAACAATGCATTACATACCTAAGAATAGCAACAATTTAGACTTTAAAGACATCAATTAAAATCAAAATGGTCTAGAAGTGTAATTTGCCCAAAAAAATCAAAATGGTCCACACTTTAGTCCCATTATTAACAGAATGCCCAGAGTGGGATTAAATAGTACCCTCTACATGGAATTATTCGCCCCAACCAGTCAATCACAGCTGGCCTCATTTGAGGCCACCAAACATGGGATGAGGGGGACATGGGACACACAGTCTAACCTTGCCCCTTTATTCCCATACTAACTGTGGCCAATATACACACCGGATATATTCCAAAACAAAGACAATGAACAAACATATAAATACACAAGCACAGATTGTTTAAACTCTGCTTCTCACATTGATCCCAAACAACAATGCTTGAACTTGAGAAAATAAAAGCATTACTGAGCCATCAACACATCAAAAAGTACACAATGAACATTCCACATATATTAAAAAAAGAAGAAGTAAGACAATGTCAGGCATATAAATATACAAACAAATTGTATACTCTGATCTAAACAACATGCTTCAAGTGTTCAACTTGAGAACATAAAGGCATTACTAAACAAATCAAGAATTACAAGTACACAATCCAAGAAAATAAAAACCTAATCCTCCATAATCCTCCTTACATATCACATAAAAAATACTGCAAAACAAAATGTACAATTGTACCTTACATAAGCTCTAATCTTTAATTGATCTTATAAAATTCATCTATATTAATAAACTAAGACTTGGAGAGTTTGAGAATTCATGTTCCTTTGAATCAATAGCATTTCCCAATTCGCCCTAACAATTTCCAGCACTTTGAAATGGGCCGCTTGACACAATGCAGAGTATGACAAAATTTATGCTGTAAAAGTAATACAATGCAAACTAAACAAACTCAACTGAACCAGGAAATTTCATATTCAGCATCAAACAGAGAAGATAATTAAGATAAGTGTGTTATAATAGATTCCAACTGCAAATTTTCTCATCTTTTGTATCCAAACAACATCAAACAATGCAACAACAAGAACAATAATGCCATAACCATTTCATCCAGAACTGAAATATATTACACTTGAAACTTTTTCTTTGGTTGTGTTTTCTTGTTTTGTTTTTTGCAGAACACACAAAACTTGTTTTTTTCCGAAAACAGGTCCTTTTTGGAAACTGTTTTCACAAATATAAAAATGATGAAAATGATAGGTATTTTTTAAACATCTCATTTTTTTTTTTTTTTGGTTTCCATAGACACAAAAACCTAACCAAATGATCAATTAGTAGACGCGGAATTGTAACTCACTTATTGTGAACATCAACATATTCATCAGTTTCATCTAGTATTTCTTCCTTCAAAACAAAACACAAATATTAGTTCATCAACAAAAAAAACACATTAAGTCTATGTACCCAGAAAAAGAACTCAGAAAAAACAGTGCCATGTCTAGATATGGTGAGGTTTAAATTAAAAAAGAATTTGAACCACAAACCATTACTGTTTTTTTTCTTTTTCTTTTTTGTGAATAAAATTTTAGGTATTTTATCAGGATACCTAGAAGGCTTGCGGAAAGAAAAGCATATATGAAAGGACTGATCTAATATTTACATATACGAAATTTCCTATCACCTATATGGAAGAAAAGCGTTCATATTGAAGCTAGTTTTGTGTACTTGGACAGAATTAACTTCTATAAGTTATATCTGAAGCAGCAATATTAATTAACTATAATGGAACACAAAATAACATTTGCATGAAGTACATCATAGTATTTATTAATACTAGTTAATTAGTTATATATATTACTAACCTGTAAGAGTTCCTCTAAAACATCTTCCATAGTAATGATACCAATGACTTCTTCCTCTTGATCTGGAAGTGATTCCAAAACTTCCTTTGTTTTATTTGCATCTCCTTGTTCACCTCCTTTCTTTGGTTAGAGGTTCAGCTGTCACTGCATCGCTCCGCTATGTACTGTAATGCTGGACTCTGACTCTCAGTAGTGTCGCTATCTCCCCTCGACGATGACACGCTAATTTACATTCTTCATCCATTAGAAGGCTTTTCGTAATTTCAATTGCAAGTTGTATGCTTAATTTGGTAGATCTATTCTGTGGATCTAGTCATAAAAGCTTTCGTTTACATCATTATCTATCAGTGTATTTACTTTGCCATTTTCTCGTACCTATATATTTCTTTCGTGTGTCATGCTGTTCGTAATTCTACATTTCTAATTACTACTTTTCTATTATTAATATTATCTAATCATGATAGGACGCATAGGCAGATTTGTTATTGTTATGTATTGCAGTGGTTAATGTGAATCTACTCTATAACTGGTGAAATTTTATATTAAAATTTTCAAAAGAAGTTATACATAAATCAATTACGTGCGTAGAAATTATTCTGCTCTATACAAACTCAGATAGAGTTTCGTAAACAACACTGATTGACGAGTTTTATGACTTTTTCTATTCACTCTTGTGTATTTTTATATCTATCCGATACGCATGAGAAATAAGTTATTTGTTATTTATATAGAGTATAATAACTACATGTACGACGATATATAATTCTAGATTCACGCATCAATTTCTAAAAATCTTAGGATTTATATTCATTACTCATATCAAAGTATCGCAAAAATAGAGATTTTGCTCAGCTAACTTATAGGATAAATGATTGGAATATAATTCCATATGTATAATGGCAACGCATACAATGAAGATAATGTATTCGAAATTTGTGTAATTTAATTATGGGTTATTTTGTTCTGAATGATCTCCATATTATAATTAGCACAAATTTAACTAATTTTTGGTTTGATAGCATGATACTGGGTGAAACAAAAACGGTTTCCTCATAACCGCTAACATAGGTCACTTAGAGTAATGTCCTAATGGAGCGTGCTATTTGCGAACTCATTGTTCAAAAATAATATTTATGTAAATAAGTAAATATTATACATTAGAATCTAGAATCAAAAATCACGCTTGTTCAAATTTAATATAAAAATCAAAAATTTTAATAAAAATAAACGTATTAATTTTTTTTTGGGTGTTGAGTAATACAATAGTATAGATTGATCTTTGGTTTATCTGTCTTTACAGCGGGAAATAATGGATCATTGAAGAAAATACATGTTTCGTGATCTTTCCTCAATTTCAGCGAGGACAATTATTATATGATTATTTAAAGATGTAGTCTTACCAAAACAAATTCCCTTTATACCCTTTTACTTTACCCTGTTTTAACGTGGATAATATATCGTTTCATTTTTAATCTGACGAGGTTAAGGGATGTAGGAGACCAATCATGATTTCATGAATTAGCATTTCCATGACTTGCAATCCATCTTAGTTTTTGCATGCATAAAAGTTTGCTCATCATATTATTTCTAAATGTCAATTTCAATACCCTTTAACCTTAATATTGAGGTACATGATATCAGAGTATGCGATTGAATTGACTCGCTATCCGTGTCATGCTAGTAGCTAAAGCTTTTATTGACATTGCACGTTATGCTATCTTGTTCGCATTAAATGCATGTTGGAAATTTAGATTCTAGGAGATTATGTCAATTATTATCTAACCTATTTGCTTTCTTTTGGATCTCGCTTTTTCAAGTCATATAGGTAAAGCCAATCTCTCTCTGTCTAAATTTAGCTATTTGATGATGTATCGGTTGCTATCTCAATCAGGACTAACCTTTATTATCATTTACCATTCACATAACCCTAATGCAGGCTAATGGCTTACTTGATATTACCTGTTTTGAATAATGCTGTGGATGAGGTTTACTTCACTTAAACATTGGATACTTTGATTAATGTATATACTCAATGAGTGAACTTTACTTTATCTGTGCCTTTCCAAGCACACTTAACTGAGAGTCAAGTCCAGCAATACAGTTACATAGCGGAGCGATGGCAGTGACACGAACCTTCCAAACAATAGAAAGGGACGAAACAAAAGATGCAAATAAAACATTAAGAAGCTGAAGCACTCCAACAAGGAGGAAAAGTACATGATCATACGATTCGAAAGGTTAAGACCTTACAAGAGTAATAGAAT